GGAGCTGAGGCTGGGCTGGGCTGAGGCATGCTGAGCTGGGCCCGAGGCTGAATGCAGACTGATGCTGCAGGCTGAACAGGCTGATGCTGCGGCCGAGGCAGGCTGAGGCTGAGGCAGGCTGAGGCTGAGGCCGAGGCTGAAGGCAGACTGAGGCTGAGGCTGAAGCAGGCTGAGGCTGAGGCTGAGGCAGGCTGAGGCTGAGGCCGAGGCTGAATGCAGACTGATGCTGAGGCTGAAGCAGGCTGAGGCTGAGGCTGAGGCAGGCTGAGGCTGAGGCTGAGGCAGGCTGAGGCTGAGGCTGAGGCAGGCTGAGGCTGAGGCTGAGGCTGATGCAGGCTGAGGCTGAGGCAGGCTGAGGCTGAGGCCAAGGCTGAAGGCAGACTGAGGCTTTGGCTGAAGCAGGCTGAGGCTGAGGCTGAGGCTGAGGCAGGCTGATGCTGAGGCTGAGGCTGAGGCAGGCTGATGCTGAGGCAGGCTGAGGCTGAGGCTGAGGCTGAGGCTGAGGCTGATGCAGGCTGAGGCTGAGGCAGGCTGAGGCGGAGGCCGAGGCTGAAGGCAGGCTGAGGCTGAGGCTGAGGCAGGCTGAGGCTGAGGCTGAGGCAGGCTGAGGCTGAGGCTGAGGCTGATGCAGGCTGAGGCTGAGGCAGGCTGAGGCTGAGGCCGAGGCTGAAGGCAGACTGAGGCTGAGGCTGGAGCAGGCTGAGGCTGAGGCAGGCTGAGGCTGAGGCCGAGGCTGAAGGCAGACTGAGGCTGAGGCTGAAGCAGGCTGAGGCTGAGGCAGAGGCAGGCTGAGGCTGAGGCAGGCTGATGCTGAGGCAGGCTGAGGCTGAGGCTGAGGCTGAGGCTGAGGCTGGGGCTGATGCAGGCTGAGGCTGAGGCAGGCTGAGGCGGAGGCCGAGGCTGAAGGCAGGCTGAGGCTGAGGCTGAAGCAGGCTGAGGCTGAGGCTGAGGCAGGCTGAGGCTGAGGCTAAGGCAGGCTGAGGCTGAGGCAGGCTGAGGCTGAGGCTGAGGCTGATGCAGGCTGAGGCTGAGGCAGGCGGAGGCTGAGGCCGAGGCTGAAGGCAGACTGAGGCTGAGGCTGAAGCAGGCTGAGGCTGAGGCTGAGGCAGGCTGAGGCTGAGGCTGAGGCAGGCTGAGGCTGAGGCAGGCTGAGGCTGAGGCTGAGGCTGATGCAGGCTGAGGCTGAGGCAGGCTGAGGCTGAGGCCGAGGCTGAAGGCAGAGGCTGAGGCTGAAGGCAGAGCAGGCTGAGGCTGAGGCTGAGGCAGGCTGAGGCTGAGGCAGGCTGAGGCTGAGGCTGAGGCAGGCTGAGGCTGAGGCTGTGACTGCGACTGCCGTTGCCACTGCGACTGTCATCGCGAATGCGACTACGACTGCGAGAACAGCAGAAATCTACAACTGGATTCTCATCCGAATCTTAAGGGGAATGCTTCCAGATATGCTCCTACACATCGCTGTTAGGTTGCTTTGCCGGGATAATTTTGTATTTTTGTTACCATTTTTATATTTTGGAATCGATTATTCCGCGCGCGGTGACCCCGCGAATCCCCACCGACTCACCGCACGGTGTGGCCACCACGCCGCCGGGGGGCCCCCGACGGCGGAGCGGGGGCGCGCGGCCCCCCCGGGGCGGCACCGGCCCCCGGGCCGGCCAGGGCCACGCCGAGCCCCCCACGGTCCAGGATCGGGGCCAGATGTCCCTCGACTCGCGCGGGGGGGGTCCACGATCTGCTCCAGACGTCCCTAGAGATCGCTGGAGTTGCATCGACTACCGCGCTTGATCCCCGCAGTTCGACTGGAGAGAAAAGTGTTTGGTCACCCCTGGACGGCGGCGGCGGCGGCGGTCCAGGGTCGGCTGCACTCGGCGGCACGCAGCAAGGGTTAGGGCGGGCGCGTCCCCCTGCAGGGGGATCTGAGGGCGGAAAAAAAACAGAAAACACAAACAAACAGAAAGCAAAAAAAAATGCTCAAAATACAAGCAGAAATCGTCCCAGACTGTGCTTTGACTATTTTTGAATACTCCTCCTGTAGAGGGACGGGCCCGACTTGACACAAGGGGGTAGGGGGAGTGGGGGAGCCTTCTTAGGAGGAGCCAGCTCCAAAACCGAGGCCACAAAGGATCGGCGGCGAGCGAGGGGGGGGAAGTGAGAAGGAGAAGGCCTTCTCGGAGAGCGGCGGGACTTCTCAGAAGCCCTCGCGCCTCCTGAGAAGTGCCTTGTGTCTTCGGGGAAGGCTTGGACAACTTGTCAGAAGGCCAAGGGACGTCCGAGCCTGCTGAGAAGGCCTCCCCCCCGGGCTCGCCGCCGAAAGGAGGGCGGGGTCGCCTACACCTGGCACCCAACCGCGCGCCAGCCGGAGGACCTCGGATGGATCTTGGAGAGCGTTTCTCATGTTTCGCGACAGCGGCTGCTACCGGCCCCGGCCGCGCCCCTCTCCGCCCCCTCAGGAAACGACACCATCCGTGCTGACCTCCGAAGTGGCTTCGGTTGTTCCTAGACTGATGTTGCTCCCGTCGCACTTCAGGACCACATCCCAGAAACAAGTTCGAGCGCCCGGACAAGTGTCGAGACGGTGTCGAGACAGTGTCGGACGAGTGCCTCCAAGGCCCCCTCTTGGCTGACCCCGTCGGGTCCTCATCCGTCTTGCGCGAGATGGCATCGCGACCTCACCGCGGCCTGCGCGCGGTCAACCAGCGAGGCACGCTGCGCTGGAAGCAGCGAGGGCGCCTACGCGCCACCTTAAGCGAGCAGCTCACGCGCCAGCGTCGGCGAAGTCGAATGCGGTTCCTCCGTCGCTCACGCGGCTCCCAAGCCCGCGCCAGCCTGAGGACCTCGGCTGGGATCGGCTGACCCCCGTCGGCCACGAGGACTGAGCATCGTTCAATCGTTCCCTGCCCCCACGGGCGTGGCCTGGGCCCCACTGGCTGATTTACCCCCCTAGATGGGGATGTAGGCTGTTCCCTTCGGCGTTTGATGGGTATAGCATCGTTCAATCGTTCCCTGCCCCCACGGGCGTGGCCATTCGGCTTTTCGAGGGGTAACTCTCCCCAACTGGGGCACTGAGGTCGTCGGGCTCGGATGGAGATGGGGATGGGGATGGAGATAGGGATCGGATAAACGATACTGACGTACGGCAGGTTCGTATCGTGCCAACTTCGGCGTTGGTTCCTGACACCGCGAGGACCGTTCAACCTTGACCGATCGGCCGTTTCCGACTCGTCCGATCCTTCAACTTCGACCAATCCTGGGCCGCCGCCGGCGGGCTCGCTGCCAGTCGAAACGACGCGAACCTACCGCTTACCCTTCGCTCGCTCTCCCCTTGTTGGGCCTCCTGGCAGGCCCTCGTCGTCACGGCTGGTTACCGCCTCGGGATCGAGGAGCGAGGATTAGGTCGGGCCTGCCCCCCCCTACAGGGGGATTTTGGACGAAAAATACAACAAAATAGTCCAAACAAATACCCTAAAATGGCCAAAACATGCTCAACAAATAATCCCCTGACTAATTGTTTTACGATGTTTGAATTTTCCCCCTGTAGAGGGACAGGCCCGACTGAAAGCGAGGATCGAGGATCGAGGTTCGAGCATCGAGGATCGAGGCTCGATCGGGCCGGGCGAAAGGGAGGATAGTTAGCAAAGGTGGGGTCTGAGAATCAGCTCACGTAATTAGCTGATTCTCCCGGCGCCGGAGGCGCCCATGCATCGAGGAATTGGCCCCTCGGTGGGGCCGAAACCAGCTGCGTGCAGCAGATTTCGTGACCCCCCCTTTCCCAATCCCCCCCTTTCGTTCGGCCCGAGGATCGAGGATCGAGGTTCGAGCTTCGAGCGGGCTCTGGCCACCCCAGTAGGGGGCCACATGCGAACCCTACCCCTACCCCCCACGATTTCTGAGGGGGAGCTCCGACCGTTGATGCTTGTGCAGCTCTTGCTTCCTTCGAGCTTCGGGACGAGCGAAAGGGGGGAATGGCAGAAGGGGGGTCTGAGAATCAGCTCACGTGGCTGATTCTCCCGGCGCCGGAGGCGCCCACGCATCGCGGCATGGGCCCCTCGGTGGGGCCGAAACCGGCTGCGTACGCAGCAGATTTCGTACCCCCCCCTTTCCCAATCCCCCCTTTGCGTCCGGCCCGAGGAGCTCCCCTCGGGCCCCGCTCGCTTCCTGGCAGAGGCCCTCGGCCCGCCAGAGAGCCGGGCACTGGCCAGTCGGGAGCGGCCAGGAGGGGGGCGTCCAAGAAGGGGGGGGTGCAAGTCGTGACCGGCGGCATGCGCGCGGCCCGGCGGGGGGACCAGGGGCGCAATGGAATAAGAAGGGGCGCCATGAAATCTGGGGATATATCATGGCCCCCGCCATGATATCCACCCCCCCCTAGTCTTGAGCAGGGACCGACCGTCCCGGCATTCCTAGAGCCCTACCTCAGAACCCAAACATGTTCTAAGAACAAAAAACATGCTCTTAGAACATCAGCCCGATGTGCTAAAACAAGACAGCCTCCGCCAGAAAGGCTCCAAGAGCATTTCGTGGAAACCACAAAAGGTTCTTGGAACATGGTTTGGTAGGGCCATGGGCACGCCAGGACGCGTCGCCACTGCTTGATAGCCATCATCCCCCTCTTTGAAGGGGCCCTGAGACACACAAATAACTACACACAAATCAAGAAGGATTCCCCATGTTTCCCCATACTTTCTGGGTTTCTGTCGTCTTCCCCCCCACTCCCCATCTCTTCCCATGTTTTCCTGGGGATCGACGATTCATTGTGCCTGTGTGTTTCTCTCCCTCCTGACTCTCTGCCGCCCCCACAAGCCAGCGATCGGCTACACGTACGAGTGACCCTGGGCAAGAGTGACCTTTGGTGCGCAGCTCAACGGGGGACGCGGGGGGGCCAAACATGGGCGCGCAAGCCGCTGCTATCGCATCGCATTCGGCGATTGGGGCACCCCATCTGTGCCCGCACCAAAGGTCACTCCGGCGAAAGGTCACTCTTACGTCCAGTCGAAGCGAGCGAGGCGCGCGGCGCGCTGGCCTGCCGGTCCTCCTCCGCGCTGCCCTGGCGGCTCCACTGGTTGTGGCTGCCCTGCCCGGCCGCGGGGCCGGGAGGGGGCACGAGGAGAGGCGGCGCCACCACCAGCAGGGCGAGGAGGTGCGAGGAGGCAAGTGAAGGGGCCCTGGGACACACAAATAAATACACACAAATAACAGGACTCCCCATATTTTCGCATATCGTCTAAGTTTTTGTCTTCCCCCCCTATTTCCTATATTTTCCCATATCTTCTGGGAATCGACGATTAATTGTGTCTGTGTGTTTTGTTCTCTCCTGAGCAAGGGGAGTCTCCCTGGTGGTGTGGTCCCCCCCTCTCTCGCTCGAGACATCCCCGGCCTCCAGCTCGGGGAGGCGTCGTGGACCTCCTCGCTGGAAGGGGCCCCTGGTGGTGTTGGTGTGGCTTCTCCTCCCTCCGACGGAGGGGGGGCGCGCCTCGGAACAGAGCAGGTGAGCGCGCTAAGACGGACGGCGTCGGGAATGTGAGGATCCGGCCATCGCAAGGACACACACACACACACACATGGGACGCACAGGAACATACTAATACTACACGTCCTCCTTGGAGGCGCGCGTCCGACCCGAACATATAGTATACCCATCGTGTGGTATATCGTTTCCCGAGCAGTGGCCAGAAAGCGCCCGCCACGACGCATATACTATAAGATTTCTCGGTGCGCGCGTCGCCCCTGGGGGGGTGACGCACATGTAGTATAAGTATGTTGGGGTGACGCCGAACACACATCCGTCTGTGAAGCGGTGGGGCTGTCCGAATACCTTCGAGCCAGTCTGTAAAGGAGTGAGGCTGTCAGAGTAGAGCCCGTCTGCGAAGCAGTGTGGCCGTCGCAGTATCTAAAGCAGAGCCCGGGATGCGGAGCACATGCGAGAAACTGTACGAACGGAAGGGGGGAGCGAAGGGACGGGACTCCTGTCAAGGAGTTCGAGCAGTTGCAATTGGGAGGGCATATGCGTGCGGGGAGAAAGGGGGCAGCCGTGGAAACCTGCATGCGTACACGCACGCCTGCATGCGTCCCCCCTGAGGCGTCGCGCACCTCTTTTTCGTCCAAACAGTGCTCGCACCTGGGGATGCCGACTCGTCCGAGCAGAATGCTGCGATGGCTCCGCCAGGGTCTCGCCGGGTGCCTGGCTGGTGGCAGGACGCGGACGCCTCGTGGGCGCCCCGTCGGCTGGGTGGCTCCGCGGGGGCCTCGCCCGGTGCGCGAGGGGGGCGGCCGGCCGTGGACGCCTCGCGGGCGCCCCGTGCCCCGAGTGGGCCCGCGCTGGTGTCGCCCGGCCCCCGGCTGGTGACCGGTCGTGGGCGCCTCGCGGGCGTCCTGTCGGGGATCTGCTGACCCGGGTCAATCCAGCACGGGTCCGCAAGAGAGTTCTTGAAGCGGTTGGCAATCCACGACGCAACACACACACGCCTGCGACCCACACTTGCCCATGCCGCGGCATGCGCGGTGCTGGGAATTGTTTAGACCGTCTCCTCCACGTTCCCTGGTCGGCCTGGGTCAATCCAGACCCGGGTCAGCGGGAAACCCAAAACTGCAGTGCAGATATTTTTTAAAAAGAAAAAAGGAACCCCAAAAAAAAACTGCAACGCAGATCTTCGCAAGCCTGGGTCAGTAAAATTTGCGCGGCCGCCTCGCGGCCACGAGCGGCTCGCTAACCCGGGTCAGCCAGAGGGGGTCTTCGCAGGATCCTGCAGGATCTGGTGCCCTGGCTGACCCCCGTTTGCATTGACCCCCGTCTCAAGGCTCCCGATCCTGTGCGCTGGGCGATCCGCCGGGGTTTCACCTGGTGCACGAGCGCGCTGCCACGCGAGCGTGTCGGAGTCTGTCTGGAACCATGGGTTGTCGAAGCATGTCTGAGCAGAGCTCTGCAGAAAAAAACGTATTGGACAAAAAATGCCTGTTCGTCCCCAGACATGTACCAGGGTCCTTGGATTTCCGCGCGCGCACTTACTCACCATCACCCCAATCAGAGCTCCCGCACCACGTCATCGTCATCGACAATCGCCGCAACTGCCACCATCAACAGTCAAGCACCTTCGTCATCGACACATGGACATCATCATCATCATCATCATCATCATCATCATCATCATCATCATCATCATCATCATCATCAGCAGCAGCATCAGCATCAGCATCAGCATCAGCATCAGCATCAGCATCAGCATCAGCATCAATCATCATCATCATCCATCATCATCATCATCATCATCATCATCATCATCATCATCATCATCATCATCATCATCATCATCATCATCATCATATCATCATCATCATCATCATCATCCTCATCAACATCATCATCCAATCAGCATCATCATCATCATCACATCATCATCATCATCATCATCATCATCATCATTTCATCATCATTTCATCATCATCATCATCATCATCGTCATCATCATCATCGTTATCATCATCATCATCATCATCATCATCATCATCATCATCATCATCATCATCATCATCATCATCATCATCATCATTATCATCATCATCATCATCATCATCATCACATCATCATCATCTCATCATCATCATCATCATCATCATCATCATCATCATCATCATCATCATCATCATCATCATCATCATCATCATCATCATCATCATCATCATTATCATCCTCGTCATCGGCGTTGCCAATGTCGGCAGCGTCATTGGCCTGCCGTCGTCATCGTCATCGTCGACACCACCATCGCTAATATCAGCATCGTTGCCACCGTGGTCGACGTCATCATGAGATGGCGCCCGCCCGAGCATTCGACACGCGCTGGGTGGGTGACATCGGTAGGCGTCATCGCGGCCGCATCGGCTGTGCCAAGCCAGCTGGCCGCTCTGCGCGCGAGCTTGCGCGGGCCAGCGCGGCCGCATTGATGCGCCAGACATGGCCAAGCAGTCCTCGCAATGGCCGCCGCATGGGCTTTACAAACCAACATGCGGGTGGGAGGGTGGGATGGTTGCGCGAGCAGTAATTATGATTGACAGAACGTGAATTTGCAAAAATGAATTGCATCACGCAGCTTGCAGCACATCTACTACACCACAGAGCCTACAAAGAAAAGGTTATAACACATTGGTGGACACACATTGCTTGCACCACATCATTTCCACCGCGTAGTCTCCTCCATATAGACTGTTCTTTCCAAAAGGGTGTAAATTATATCATACTGCCCCCTGGATTTATTGGTACCCCCTGGGTAACAGCAAATTATGTATGATTATGCCTCGTCGTTCATGTCCATATGAATGTATACAATCCCAGGCCCTGGCAGACCAGGTATCGCCACTCCTCATGCCTGTCAAATCCGCGACCGTGCCTTCAGCACGTAGAGGAGCGCCCCAAAGGCTCATGTAGCCCTACAGCCCTAAAAGGGGCCGGACCCCTAGTTTCCCAGCCGCTCCCTGGATTTCCCGGGAGCTCTTGGGAGCTCCTAGAGGCTCCTGGCAGCTCGTCGGCCAGCCTCGGACGACCTCCCGAACCCTCGAGAGCGTCTCAGGAATCGCCTCAGATGGCCAAGAGGGCCCCGGAGCGGTCCATGACAGCTCCAAGACGGCCCATTGTGACCCCAAAACGGCCCAAGGGGGCCACAAGACGCCTCAAGAGGACCCCGAGAGCACCCTAAAAGGCAAACATCGCCACACTCCCAAAGGAAAACGTATATTTTCAGCAGATGCGCCCCTTCGGCTTTCACAGCGTCCAAGACGGCCTATAAATCCACAAAATCGCCCCAAGACGGCCCAAAAAGATCCCAAGAGGGCCGCAAGACGGCTCAGGAGGGTCCCGAGAGGGCACAGATGGGCCCCAAGACGGCACAAGATGGGGAACTCGAGCTGAGATTTCGAGCCCTCCGCCCCAAGGGGGCCCCCGAGATCGCCAGCAATCCCCGAAGAAGTCCTCAAGAGGCCCCAAGGAGCCCCCAAGAGGCTCAGAAAAAGCCTCAGGAGGCCCCCACACAGCCTCCGTGAGGCCCCAAGAGTCTTCAAGACTGCAGACACCCCCCCCAACAAGCATCCAACAGGCCACTGCCTGTCGATTCATCGCAGGGGTGCCTGGCGTGCTGGACCCTTTCGGTTTTGGTTTTGGTTCTTCTTCCTCTTCCAAAAGAATTCCCCCTGGGGCTTCGGCCCGTCTCGTCGGCACCCGAAAGGCCGCACAATTCCCAAATTGTTCACTCAAGATGGCCCAAGATGGCCTCCAAGACGGCCACGTTGGCCCAAGATTGCCTCCAACATGGTCCAAGATGGCCTCCCAAACGGCCCAAAAGAGTCCAAGACGGCCCAAGACGGCCCAAGAGGCCCCCCAGAGGCCTCCAAGACGGCCCAAGAGGCCTCCAAGAGGTCCTCCAGGAGGGCCCGAAGAAGCCAAAACCGTAGATGTGCCATAGGTTTCTGAAGGATTTTCGCATTCGCTTCTTCTCGGCTTTCCGACGACCCAAGGCGGCCCAAGAGGCCCCCAAGATCGCCCCCACAGCGCCCAAGAGGCCTCCAAGATGGCTTCAGGACTGCCCAAGAAGCCCCCAAGACGGCCCCAAGAGGGCACAAAGACGACCCAAAAGGCCTCCAAGACGGCCCAAGATGGCCTCTCAGACGGCCCTGGAGCATTCCAAGCGGGCCCCAAGTTGGCCCAGAGAGGCCCCCCAAACGGCTTCAGACGGCGTCAGACGGGCCAGGGGCCCACCAAGACGGCCGAAGATGGCACTAAGATGACCCAAGACGGCCCAAGAGGCCTACAAGAGGGCCTCCAGAAGGCCCGAAAAGGCCAAAATCATTGATTTCCCATGAGGTTTTGAAGGATTGTGGCATTCGTTCTGTTTCGGCCTTCCGACGGCCCGAGAGGGCCCAAGAGCCCCCAAAGATCGCCTAAAGATCGCCCAAGAGGCCTCCAAGATGGCCCCAGAACGGCCCAAGAGGCCCCCAAGACGGCCCCAAGAGGCCCCCAAGACGGCCCATGAGGCCGTTACGGCGCCCAAGATGGCCTCCAAGACGGTCCTGGAGCATTCCAAGAGGGCC